CCGACCCCACCACCAAAGACATCTTTCCCTCCCCACCTTTATCTGCTTTCCGGAGGGACAACTCTCTCCGTGACTCCCTTGTCCGCTCCACACTCCCCTCCAGCTCCACCACACCCGGCACTTTTCCCTGCAACCGCTGGAAGTGCTACACCTGCCCCCATACCTCCTCCCTCACCCCCATCCCAGGCCCCAAGAAGACTTTCCACATCAAGCAGATGTTCACCTGCACATCTGCCAATGTGGTATACTGCATCCGCTGTACCCGGTGTGGCTTCCTCTACATCGGGGAAACCAAGCGGAGACTCGGGGACCGCTTTGCAGAACACCTACGCTCGGTTCGCAATAAACAACTGCACCTCCCAGTCGCGAACCATTTCAACTCCCCCTCCCATTCCTCAGACGACATGTCCATCCTGGGCCTCCTGCAGTGCCACAACGATGCCACCCGAAGGTTGCAGGAACAGCAACTCATATTCCGCTTGGGAACCCTGCAGCCCAATGGTATCAATGTGGATTTCACAAGTTTCAAAATCTCCCCTCCCCCTACCGCATCCCAAAACCAGTCCAGCTCGTCCCTGCCTCCCTAACCTGTTCTTCCTCCCACCTATCCCCTCCTCCCACCTCAAGCCGCACCTCCATCTCCTACCGACCAACCTCATCCCGCCCCCTTGACCTGTCCGTCCTCCCTGAACTGACCTATCCCCTTCCTAACTCCCTACCTACACTCACCTTTCCTGGCCCCATCCCCGCCTCTTCGACCTGTTTGTTTCCTCTCCACCTATCCTCTCCTCTATCCCTCTTCTATCCGCCTCCCACTCTCTCCCTATTTATTTCAAAACCCCCTTCCCCTCCCCCTTTTCTGATGAAGGGTCTAGGCCCGAAACGTCAGCCTCTCTGCTCCTATGATGCTGCTTGGCCTGCTGTGTTCATCCAGCCCTGCACCTTGTTGTCTACGGTATTTTGCCTTTGTTTTACATTTTGGGTAAAAGCTGGTGTTAATATAACATCAACTGGAAGATGTGTTGGTTCATGATGAAGGATTAAGGAAACCCAGAATCCTGCAGCTTGACGTCCTCCAACACTTTGACTGGAAACATTGGCTATTACCAAGTACGGGGTTGGGGCACTAAATGGTAAGTATAGGTACAAAGCAGGGCATGTTTATACATACTTGCTATAAGTCTAGTGAGAAACTGAGCTGGTTCTCATCATTTCATCCTCCCCAGTTGGCCCCTTACCCCAGTTAAAATTGTGTTAACTGTTTTTACCAGAAACAATATGGAGCCACATTGCACACGAAAGAATTTTTTTTTTAAACTCATTAACCACAAGAGGAACAAGAAACAAATGATGTCAATGAGACAGCCAATGTAAAATCACGTAGATTCTCACATACACACATACATGGTACACAGTTAAAAAGGAATAACGTCTGTATAAATGAAGTTAAAGGAATGTATGGTTAAGAGCCTTTAGTGTCCTGCAGGTGTAAGTTTTTAACCTGAGACCTCATTTATTAGTTGCTGTCTTGAACCATCAGCAGTAGTGAATATTGCAGTTATCATTTAAGTTCTCAGTGTCCTGATATTTCTTTCAAAGCAATATTGTTGCCTGATACTACTACTTCATGAGAGACAGGGAAAGTATCCTCAGCCTTCGGTGCTACATACTTAGTTTCATCTCCTCTCTCTGCAAAAGCAGCATCTTGAAACTGCAGCTTGTTCATGTAGTCCATGTGTGTGGAAAATTTGTCTCAAGTCATGTTAATTGCAGGCAAGATTCCATCTCCAACATGTGAGCATTTTCATAAAGGTTTAAATCAATATAGGAAAATGAGGGCCTCTTCACACCTCTCCAAGGGGCTTGTTGGCTGGCTGGCTTCATTGCTCCAAAGGAAATTGATAATTATAACTTGACGATTTTTCACTTAATCTACATTGATTTCATGAAACTTGGCCAACCTATGTGGTTAGGTGACCACTATGACCATTTCAAGCCTGTTTATTTTTGGAGCCTTTGCAAAAACGTCATGAAAATCCTGCATTAAATCAGACCAGGTATTAAAACAATCACCATTTACTAGAAACTGAAAGGCCCATTTTTCTGTGACCAAAGAGTGGCTAAGAGGATGGGAATTCTGCAGCAATGTATTAATTCCTGAATCCCCACTATGTACACGTACAATCAGGAATATAATGGAATACTCTCCACTCAGCATCACCACCCACAAGTTCCCCTCCATTTCACACAGAATTCTGACTTAGAACTATATCAATTTTCATTCATTTGTACTGGGTCAAAATCCTGGAATTTACTCCCTCACAGCTTTGTAGATATACCTACACCTCTCAAACTACAGTGGTTTAAAAAGGTGGCTCGCTACTACAATTGTCAAGACAGTTAGGGATGTTTGATAAATGCTGGCCTTGTCAGTTATCTGTTGAGAATAACCCAGGTATAATTTGGACCTTTTTGGAGTTCTTATGTCAATGTCAAAAATCCAGATTAAACATGTGATCTATCTGGCATACATCTTTCCATGGATGTCGGTACCTGTGGTTAGCTTCTAATTCCAAACTTAAATTCCATTAGCTACCATGGTAGAGTTAAAACCCATATTCCCTCACAGCATTAGCTTGATCTTTGGGTTACTAGTCCAGTGATATTAACACTAACCACCAACTTAACCTTGAAAGCTAACCAAACAATCCTCCTCCATTATACAGAACTATTAAATGTGCAAGTGATGGACTCTGTTTCAATTCTGACAGAACTGGGATCAGACCTGCTTTAAGTAACACTTGAACAGTTACATCCATTTAAATAAAGTTTTACTCCTTTGCATTTGACAAATTTACTTAATCTCTGTTCACTACTTGTTTTTGTGTTGGTGGGTGTGTTTTGAGCAAATACAATTTGTGTTAGTGAATAGCACTTATTCTTGAAAGATATGTAGATTTTTTATTAATTGCTGTTTCTGTTAATGTTTACGTTGGTATTTTAATCTTGATTAATTGTAAAAAGAAGTAAATACCACACCTTACTCCAGAACATAGGTGCTATCTTCAATGGATGACAAGCCTATCAGGGTTAAACTGGTTTGATCAATTCCATAGACAATCACTGTATATTTGCC